GATAGCGAGTTGACGCAGACTTCTCTTGTAGCTCATGACATTGACACGGGGACTACTAAGCCTATTCGGCAAAAGACGCGACCTGTCCCCATAGGTGCTCGTGATGAGTTCAAGGATATTCTTAGCAGCCTGCTCCAACGAGGAATCATTGAGCGGTCGACATCTGAGTGGGCGTCGCCGGTAGTGCTTGTGCGGAAGAAAGACGGAACCCTCCGGTTATGCATTGACTATCGTCAACTGAATAAATGCACGAAGCACGACGCCTACCCGTTGCCAGGAATTGATACCATGCTGCAAAGTTTGCAGGGGAAACGATTCTTCTCGACGCTTGATATGGCATCGGGATATTGGCAGATTCCTCTAACCGCCGCAGCAAAGGAAAAGAGTGCTTTCACAACATCAGAAGGTCTCTTTCAGTTTACAGTTCTTCCATTCGGTTTAACCACGTCGCCCGCTGTTTTTCAACGGCTGATGGACACGGTGTTACGTGAGCTGAAGAATAAGGAAGTTTTCGTTTATATCGACGACATCCTTATTGCTACTGCGTCGGAAAGTAGACACTACGAAGTGCTACAAATGGTTATGGACGCGTTGTTAGAGGCCAACTTGCGGCTCAAGCCTCAAAAGTGCGTACTTCTTCAAGAAAACGTCGCATTTCTTGGTCACAGGATCGACGGGAAAGGAGTGCACGTAGATCCTGACAAGGTCGTGAAGATAAAGGAGTTTCCGAAGCCCACCAACATAGCGGAACTCCGTACATTTCTCGGTATGTGCAGCTATTACCGTAAATTCGTGCTCAACTTCTCTAAAATAGCAAGTCCCTTGTTCGAATTAACAAGGACGAAGGTACCGTGGAAATGGGACGCTGCTCAGGATGAAGCTTTCGTGACGCTCAAAGAAGTGCTGTCAACCACTCCGGTGTTGGCGCAACCTGACGTCGAAGGGGCTCAGTCAGGGAAGAACCCTTACATAATCTATACGGATGCGTCGCAAATGGGCGTAGGAGCTGTGCTTTGCCAGCAAGGACTGGATGAGTTTCTCCATCCAATATACTTTGCATCAAAGCGTCTGACAAAAGCAGAGCGGAACTATCATGTTACTGACCTTGAGGCGCTCGCCTTGGTATTCGCTTTGAAGAAGTTTCACTTCTTCATTTACGGCATGCAAGTGATCGCGAGAACGGATCATGCGCCGCTGACAGCGATATTTCGGAGAACTAATGTTTCTCCGCGCATACTTAGATGGGCTCTGGAAGTCCAGCAGTACCGGCTAACGATTGAGCATGTGAAAGGGAAAACAAACCCAGTTGCTGATGCACTATCGCGAGGTGTACCTATTAATACGCCAGAATCGGAAGACCTTTTCGCGGAAGAAAAAGTAGTGTGCAGCATCGAAGCAAAAGAAGCCTCGGCATGGCTGGATGAGTTACGCGATGATATCGAGTATGGGCCGATCATCGTCGCATTGGAGGAAGGAAACCTTGACAAAGAGGTGAAATTACAGTCGTCGCGAAAAAGACTCAAAGCGGCCGATTTTGCCCTGGAAAATGGTCAGTTGAAGTTCCTGTTGGAAGATGGGTCCGCTGTTATGGTTGTTCCAAGAGAACGGAGGAAAGACATCTTCGATGAATACCATAGTGGCTCATTAGCAGGGCATCATTCCGCTAAGAAGATGCTCGAACAACTGAGAAAGCTTGTGTTTTGGGACGGTATGCACCGCGATATTTACCGCTGGGTTAGAGGCTGTACTAGCTGTCTGCTGACGAACCCGCACAAGCGTATGATTCCTCCGCTTAAGCCCTTTGTAACAGGCAGACCATTCGAAATAGTCGCAGCTGACACACTGGAGATGGGCACCAGTCTGTCAGGTATGAAATATGTCCTTGTAGTGGTCGATCATTTTTCGAAATGGGTAGGTGCGTACGCAATGCCTGATAAAAGTGCTGCTACAGTTGCAACCACTTTGTTCCATCGCTGGATCTGCGAAGGAGGGCGTTGGCCCAAGCAAATCCACACTGATCAGGGCACCGAATTCCTAAACTCCTTGTTGAGTGAACTAGCTGAGGTTGCAGGAATTAAGCATTCGGTGACGAAAGGCTATAACTCCAGAGAGAATGGGGTTAGTGAGCGCGCGATTGGAACCATACAGAGGATGTTGAAAAAGAAGGTGGAGTTCCCCGATAAATGGGATGTGATGCTACCCCATGTCGTGTATGCGTATAATATTACACCCCATGAGGCTACGGGTGAAAGCCCCTTTTTCATCCTACACGGGTTCGACCCGGTCATGCCTTCCTGTACAATCCCTAGTGCCGATGTCTCTAAGTATAAGGTTTTTGTCGACGACTACCGGACAGAGTTACTTAGAGGGCTACAGTTGATAAGGGATGAGGTACGAGCCAATAGCGAAAAATACAGGGCTAAAATGAAGGAGGTATATGACCGACGTAAGGACGTGGACGTCCTCTCCCTTCCATCGGTGGGAGGAAGAGTATTTATGAAATTGCCGCGCGAGAAGGTGCGAGGGAAACATCCCAAACTGACTGTGGACTGGGATGGCCCATATCGCGTGTTGCAAACTGACGAAACATCGGCGCTTATTACTAAGATAGGTAGCAATGAGGATGCCATAAAAGTGCAGTATGACTTGCTCCTCAAGTGCCCAGAGGAAATTCCGAACGAGAGAGTGAACACCAAGACTAGGCGAAAGAGAGTGAAGAGAGTCTTGAAAATTTCCGTGTTCAAACCTCAAATTGAGTATTTCAGGCCGGAGCTGGAGTTTGACGTTCCGGACGACAGCCACGCCCTGCACGTTCAATTCAGATGCCGTGGCCAGGACTTTCCGTCAATCAAAGGAGGGCCGAGTTTCGCGTTGTCAGATTGTTGTGTGTCGAAGACGATGACAGCTGGTGATCTGATTTCAGCGTTGCCACATCCCGCGAAGGCTCTGCCGGTAGAATGCGTTTTGGAGGCTGCAAGAGTGTTTTCGATCTGGATGCAGCCTGGGTCGGCTGCGCTGAAAGCTCAGCGCATCATGGACTTGGACGATAAGGCAGTTGACCCTCGATCGCTTGGCTTCGCGTACGCCGTCTTCAGAAGTAAATGTGCCCACGTGAGCCTCATGGCAAGAGCGATCGAGCCGGCAACGATAATGAGGCATGGATCCTTGTCGCGAGGATGGCCAGAGCTGCCGAAAAGGTTTTTCGAGTTGGGCTGGTTGACTGCTCGTAAGGTGGATCCGAAGGAGTTCGACTTGAGTTCAATGATGGCTAGAGTTCACGATCGTATCCTTCTTGTCGTACCCGTGGTTCTCCGGCGAATGGCGTGGATGAAGGGTGGTTCCCGCACGCGTGTATTCTACTACCTGGATTTCTCGTCTATCAAGACGAAGTTCGATCACCTCTTCACCGATGATTTGGGATCGGTTGTGCTGGTTATGCCGCCTGAGGAGCCTCGAAAGATCACCGCGTGGCTTGCTGTCATCTCAGCCATAGATTTGTGGGCGACCTGTGGCACACGTGTATATATCGTGAACGGACCACGAACGACGAACACTGTCAGTTGGGAGCACGTCACGCTAAAGATGAGAAGCCACCTGCTCAGCTACATCTCGGGTCGGCCAGAGCACGCGCCACTCATATCGGACGTTTTGCAGCAGACTGTGGGGGTAGTTGATACCCACGCGGCTTGGGCCGCGTGGAGTGCATGACTGAACAACGCGAGGAATGGATGAGTGAAGATGCTACTCGTACTTTCTATAAGTTCCTGCGGAGCCAACTGCAGCCTATGTTAGAGTTGGAGGATTTGAAGCTCACCCCGTTTAGAGCGCAGAGGAAGAAGGGGCCCGGAGAGCCGGCTCCTTCGAATGAGGTAGCCTCTGGTTCGGGGAACCGGAAACATAGGAAACGCCGCTTGGCGTTTGCAGAATAGAGGGCAGCAGCCCAGAAGTTGCAGGAGCTTTGAGTAGTTTTTTTTTGTGATTCCTCATCAGAACATGGAGTGGAGCCATGTATTTTTATTCCCCCCGGGCATGTCAAATTGTGATCAATCGATCTATGGATTGAGGAGAGCGCGAAGGGGGCGCCCAAAACAGTCACTCGTCGATAAGGGCGCGAAAAGCGGCCTATATAAGGGACCGCTGGATTTCGATAAGCACAGTCTTGGGCTCCAAGTCTCTCCGTCAACAAACTGCCCTAGACCCCGTCGCCCTTCCTGCAACTTCAACTGCCTCGTTCGTTGTCTTCTACCTGTCTTGATACTCCACCTCGAAGTATGTGTATCACTTAATTCCATTTATTTTTACTGTGCTATTGTTCGTACTAAGAGGTAATAAAATTTGTATTGTTCACACTGTTAATTTACGAAACGGTTAATCAACCAACATACTTCTCTCTCTTTTTTAACCTCCAACACAAGTGGCACCTCCCTATTATCAAGTTTGTCGAGACTCATGCACTAAAAGCTTTGGCAAAACCACCAGATGCCCTGCTTTTAGTAGAGTAATCGGGCGCGCAACTTCTGGAAAGTATTATATTTCGGTTTTCTTTCAGAACAATTTGTTCGCAAGTATTTTCGATAAGGGCTTTCTTCCCAATCTAAAGCCTAGTGAAACTATCAACTGCCAGGTTTCAGCGCACCTCCTAAAAAAATTGACGTCTGTCGACTTCTAGACGTGTTTTCATCAATTTTGCAACTAGACTGTTTCCTTACCTCCTCAATGGAAATTCCACACCCCGGTTAGCTGGAAAACATGAACCATCGCTTTGTCCGATACGTAATCTGGTGCCTCTTCAAATCTTCCGAAGGCGTCCCATGCACTCTTTTCAATGCTCTTACAAACAACTTGTCGAAGAGGGGTGAATAAAAAAAAAATAGAAAATAACTGATCATAATACTTAGTCCCACTAAACAAGAAAATAAGGATTAAAGTATTTCGAAAACCGAGTTGGTTCGTCCCAACTTCTCACCAAACGAACTTTTGCTAGGTCATGAAGCTCAGCATTAACTTGCAAAATCTGCGGAACTCCTTGAAAAATAGTTTGACAAATAATAGAAAATTACTTCTAATTGCTTGAATGCCTTCTTTGATCCCTCATGAAATGCCTGGAATATTTGAGTAGCATCTGAATTCCTGAAAAAATTGTTTTTTTTGAAGTAACCGATCGACCTTCTATTAAACCGGATTAAGGAAGTTCAGATAACGACTCTGATGTAAAGCTGTACAACTAACGCATATTGTCGTATAACAGCTCCTCCAGGATGATTTCGTATTGTTTCCTCATTAATGTGCAACCATTTGTCATCTATCTAAAGAAAAATTCCCATAGTTGCCATTAAATCATAATTGCTGAGATAGAACATTATGCTAAAATAAAGTGAACGGGAGCTTAAAAATTAGAAAAAAAACATAATTCGAAATTAGCGAAATGAAGAAATGTGTCGAGCGCCGCACTATCTTCCTCCCAGCCTCACCATTTCTTAACGGGGTGGAGGCTGGAGAGAGGGTGTTCTGGTCAGGCCCATTCTAAAAATGGTTTGCTGCATACTGTGGAGCTATATTGGACCACAAAATTGTATCCTCTTTTGGCTGTGCGCTCACAGGAATGACAAGAGAGCCGAGTTTTACGATTCCACGACTAACTCGGCGTTAGAAAGTTTAGAAGAAGTAGAAAGGACGTAATTTTTGGACACGTTTTTGGTTACACAAAGGATCCGACCAATTTGATCAGAAGAAAATAAAAATTGCAAGAATGCAAGATTTTGCCACCTAGGGGATTCGAACCATTCCTGAGCCTGAGCTTCACCCTGCTTGGCCCTCTCCTGATAGGCGTCAGGAAACATGACCTGATTTCTGTGGTCCCTCCCCCTCCATGGACCTACCAAAAGACCGTAAACGACTCGCGACCTGAAGAGCCCCTCCCTTAAAAGATTCATTCTCACAGGGATTTTAAGGGGCATTCTACACTTTCGCTAGGTTTTTTTTCGCTGATTCCTATTAAGTTAGCCGTCTCACCGTAGCTAATATGGTGTAATATAACTTGTTTTAAAATTAGCGCTGTTGCTATTGTAAATCTTCACAATTGATTGTTTGGTTTGTGACAATAAGCCATTTCACTCGCAGCATCGAAAGTGATGGATAATTTTGTGAAATCGTAGAAACGATTGAACCATGAGAATCAATTTAGCACCACAAGATTGCTAATTCGAACTTTTTACAATGACTCCGCTAGTACAACAATCATTCACTTTCATAGGTATGGCCATTGTTCGTCAACTGCTGGATACTGTACTGTCACCGTCAACGATAGACACTGTCCTTTCTCCAAAAAAAAATTCACCCCATAAAGCCCACAAAACGCAGTTTCTCTGCTCTATCTCGGATTTTTCCTGCACACTTAGATTCACTGAGGAATGCAAAGAACGAAAAAAGATCAAAGAATTGCAACAGGAGCGGAGAGGAGGAAGGAAACTCCCACAGTTACTAGTCACTCACTCGTAGTGTCACCAGTTCGTGGCTTATTAATGCGGTGATTCGGAGTTCCAAAGAGACTTGCAGGGAAGAACCGACTACATAGAAAACTAGTGACTTCATGGGACGAATCATAATCTGCTGGTATTCGTATGAAATCAGTAAGTGAAATTAAAAAAATCTTTAGCAACTCGTAAGCTCCAAAGCTATGTCACTGGGCATGGGATCAACCCCCTGAGCTGAACTGTTAGTAGTAAAATTCGCGTCTAATCGAAAAAAAACATATGAGTATCAATAATTAGTATAATAAACTAGTATCAAAAACCAAACATAAACAAATACTAATATCATAAACGTAAATATAAACCAGCAATACTTACATTCTCGAGTGCAAAAATCAATGCGAGAATACCGTTGACTCTCTGATCGAGAGCTTTCGGTCAGCAGATATTAGCCTGCATTTTGCTAGCGAAACTGCGTTAGGCTCACTCTAGTTCTATGGGCGCAGAAAGTCGAACATTATGCCTCCCTTGTTAGGCTTACTCCCATCGACACTGTCTTATCGTGCGCTCAAAAAAGATGACCCAATGATTGACTGTGTCACTGCGGCTCCGCCCATACGTTCAACGTGGACTGCCCCTTCGACTAACAAGAAAGGAGCATGAAACTCGAGATTCAAATAGAGAAAAAGACATGACTGTGCAATGCGAGACTGACCTCAAATGTGGAATCATAGCCTCGGACGCTACGAGTAAGAAAGCAAAAAGGAATAACCTCAATTTTTTTGAAGATTCTAGCGATGCTTTCGATTATTACTGCATCCAAATAGCAGAAATATACGGGGGGCAAAAAATAAGACACTTTGGCCGAGTCACATATCAGTAAAGTTTTCGCAGCCCAGAGAGAAGACGTGGATACGAGTACCAGGGCGGAAGATACCCAAGATGTTCCTCTATAAGCAGGAGCTGGCTCTCGCCCATCACCTTCATGTACACCAAATATGAAACCATCTCCAATCGCAGCCTGAATGGAGAAAGCTGTTCATGGGTGATTATATAGAGCCGCATCTCCAAACAGCTGCGACTCTATGGAAATTACCCATGGACAGCTACCAGGAGACCGGCACTCTTGATCTGGAAGACCTCCAACATCGAGCAGCTCCGTCGCTACGGTCCAGGATATCATCTTCACCGCAGTCGCCAAGGCGCGGGTTGATGGTATGGACCGGAAGTTCCTGGAATGGAAAGACCGATATTTTCTCCGTGGACCCCGGACGAAGGTGAACGCAGACGGTTACATAGTACAGCTCAAGGAGAATATCCTGCCTTCATGTCATTGCCTGTACCTTCTTGGAAACTTCGTACTGCTACAGGATTAGGTGCCAGCACATGGAGTCGAAGGGGCGTAGGAAAATCTCTAGCCTACTTGGAATCGAAAGGTGTTGAGTACCTGAAGAAGATGGAACATCCAAGTGTGTCACCTGACCCTAAACCTAAACTCCTCGATTACCGGGTCCAAGCGGAGCTCAATAGGGTGGTCTACAGTGGCGGAGAAATCAACTCGCTGAACTCAGGCACCGAATCACGGTCGCGTGGCAGAATCTCTCGATGGCGCTCGTCCAGAAGGCTGTGGCGGAGTATCGTGATAGTGTACAATGTGTTGTTGAATATGATGGTGGGATATAATTATAAAATAATTATACAACTACGCTCCCAAAATGTTTATTGCACACCAAAAGCTTTTGTGCAGTAAAATTTTCAGAGCCTATTTGCGTTAGTTACAATTTTTCTGCAGTCGAAAACATCATTTTAATCGCCTTTTTCAAGGGCCGGGTTCCATCGTGTGTAAGGGTAACCCATGAGCTTTTGCATGTGAAGGATAACCGTTATCCTCCACATGCAGAAGCTAATTTATAAGATTTTCGGTGGATTTTGGGATTATGGGACTGCCTTGTACTTTGACTACGATCTTTGATCAAACGATCAGGCCATTTCACGCACAGACGCTTATCGCCGCCGAGAATACCCCCGAAATTTACACTTTCATTGCGATAAGAAGACTTTGAATTTATTGGAGGACTGCCCGCACGGATCCCTGAAAATCCCCGTGATCAGGCTGGCTCAACCGTCCACTACGCAGCTCCACGCGAGTTTCCTGTTATTTGACATCGGTAACAATATAAACTGGCGGAAGTGCAAAACGTCTCTCCAAGCCGAACAGTACTGGGCATCCGCCTCTTCTTCCTAGGAGGTCCAATTATATCCGTTTACTAATGTCACAATGCCACCCATATTGCAGTGCAGATCAATCAATCCGTCAAGCTGCTTTATGTGCTGGCCCGGTCTGCACAGTTGAGCAAACATACTGGGGTCACTGACGAATGATGCAACAAATACGATGGATTCCAGAGAGTTTTACATCCTGAGATGAACACCTCTTTCACCTATGCAAAGTCAAGGTGCCACAGAAAATCGCCAATGCAATGGATAAGCGCAGTGCCCAGCGAGCCTTATCTAGTGAGTTATCGCGGGTTCGT